TGTGTAATTGTCTCGGGGTGGGTGGGTGCGCGATTAAGAGAGAAAGAGAGAGCTACACGTATAGCAGAAATGATGAAAAGTTTTCGTTCTGAATCACTATCCAAAATCAATATTTCACTTAGCAGCTTTGAGGTGTGAGTCAGTCGAAGAACTTTTAAGCATACGTCACACATACATACACTGCACGCATGAACACACATGTACAAGCGCACGCTCACACATTCATACAAACACACACACATATATATATATATGCATAAGCGTATTTTCTAGACATATGCCTACTTATATGCATGTATATCTGTATGGAATATATATATATATATATATTATATATATATATATATATATATATATATATATATATGTGTGTGTGTGTGTGTGCATATATATATATATATATATATATATGTATATATATTCACATACGCACATTAACACATACACATATATAATATTGTAAAAATATAGTTTTAAAAGTTTGCAATATTTATCTGTTAAAATGTTCGATATCAGTGACTGAGCGCATGTAAATATAAAAGATGACATGTTTCATGGGTAAATGAAATCGTTAGGCACTGAGACATGTTTTACCACTGAATGATGAGTGTATAATTTTCTTCATATCTATCTATATATGTGTGTGTAAATTGCTGATATACATATAAATACACACACACACACACACACACACACACACACACACACACATATATATATATATATATATATATATATATATATATATATATATATATATATATATATATTATATTATATTATTTTTTTAAATATGATTCCATCGTGACTAAAGTCATAAAGTTTAATTTCAATGTTAATCTTAAAATTTAGAGTACAGTTTCATTCTCAAGCGATGTTTAGAATAACTAACTGAAGAAATGTTTTACTCATTTATAACTTGGAAATGGAGGTGGTATCTGGGATTTTTTCTTTCATTATCAAAGGGTCACTACTTTGATGAAAATATGAATGTTTATTATATGTAAAATTTTCGGAGTCGTGTAAGGCTTCGTTGGGGGATTTTTTTTTTTTTTTTTTTGGCTAGAAGGGTCTATTTTCCCAGGCTCTGTTGTTTTAATTATTGTTTGTTAAAACTTACTGATTGGTGTTCTACTTAGAGTTTTTGTTGGTATTTAATTATTTATTTGTTGTTTTTGTTATTTTTTTCTCGATGGTTTCTTAAAGGGGTGCTTAGATATAATTGGGTTGTATTTTTAATCCTATAGTTTTATACGTTTCTGAAATTAATTTCATTTGCTAATAGATTTTATATGGTATGGTGCAGTTATTTATATATGGTATTGTGTAATTTTTTTAATATATATTTTTGGATTTAATTTCTGTTGCAAATTTTTTCTATCCATTTATAAATTACTAATTGTTTAAGCCGTATATTTGGCGGTGTTTGCAAAAAACCTTTATTTCATTTCTTTGATTTGATATTTTTTGTTTTTTATAAACTTGATAATGTGTAGTTTTCTATGTTCTATTTCTGTATCGGGTACTGTTTTTTTTTTAAATAAAATCATACATACTAAAGAAATTTGTATCTTTACTTTCCTATTACATCAATACGCACACACACACACACATATATATATATATATATATATATATATATATATATATATATATATATATATATATATAGATAGATATATATATATATATATATATATATATTACAGAATCAAAGTTCTGATACCCATTCAAGAGTAGACGAACAAACCCGTCTACGAAACTCTGGAGTCGTGATGTTGAAAATAACATCAATCAGCTATATTCATTTATTTTTTGTTTGCGATCGTTTTACGCGACTCAAATATAAATTTCATGTCATATTCTTAGATTCTTCTATATTTTAGTGATATTAATGAGGTGTCAGTGGATTCAGTGGCTCGACTTCCTCCGTAATTCTATCTGAACCCATCCCAACCTTACATCTTCGCATTTACCATTCCTACGTCAAATTCATTTTTCTTTTTAGAACAAATTCTCATTTCTCCTTTGCCACCAACTAGTTAAACATCCAAGCGAATGCTACACTTAGTAACATTTTATAAAGCAATAAAATCACTTAGTTTCTGAAATTACTAATTCCTTTCTATATAATAAAAAATATTTCATTCATCCCTATATAATATAAACCATACTTCGAATTACCGCGTCCCTTCAGGATATAGGTATTCATGGCACTCCACAACGTCCTATCTTCTTAGCATTTTTCTCCCTTTCTTCTCGTTCATCTTTCCGCCACCCGTCCACATAATATTATTTTCAAATTGATTTAAATATGATTTTATATGTGATTATTGTTATTTTAGTGTTTTGAAGTTTGTAATATTTTTAATGGTCGACGTAAACTCGAGTAAAACGACGTAAGGCGAGTTTTATTTTCCACATAATATCTACGAACAACCGACTTATTTTTGAAAATTATATTTGTATTATAATAGACATTACAGTTACATATAACTATTTCAACAGTAAAACGACGAAGCCAAGATGCCAATTTAGTGGTACGTTTAAATTCATGCTTTTGTGGTACCAAGGAGATGAAGTGATTAAAATAATGTCCATGAAAATATTTATAGACAAGGCAAAGGGAAAACTACGGCACAACTGTAAGAAAATGACTGACGTCGAGATGCTAGGTCGTGACGAACTTATTGATTACAGAGAGTGAGAATTTTGAGTGGTTCTTCATTTATATACTGTGTCTCTTCAGGATGTAGGCTCTCCACAGCATCCGATCCATTGTAGCTCTACGAAATGTTGGTCATCTTACTATCCCTCCTAATGCCATCTATTTACGCCAGCTTGTCAGGAACATTACTCAGTGTCTCCTTCTGCCCATCTTGATTTCACTATGCCCCGTGAGCATCTAATTCTCCAAGCCCGCTTTCCTCATTATGTTTCAAAGTAATTTAAACTATCTATTTCTAATTCTAAGTACATGTGTCATGTTTGGTCTTTGTTCCCCATAAAACTTTCCCGCCTGTGAATCTCACTTCCGGTTTCTTGCTTCCCTGTTGTTACCGATCTTAAATGCAACGTCAATCGCCATTTTCTGCCTTCCCGAACCTGTTCTTTTATTACACTAATGCTTTCTCCTCCTCTTTCACACGCAGTAACCCCTGGCATTTTAGCGGCATTATTGTTTTGTCTCGCATGAAATGATTAAAAAGGTAAAAAGTAAAAGTTATCTGTCCGTACTTAAATATTTCTTCAAGTAATCATATCCCAGACGATGTAATGTCCAACGTTGAACGGTCGACAGTTTTCCCACACAGAGTAGCATCCATGCATAATACATACACACGTGTCTGATGCAGCTCCAACCAAACCCCTTCAAATATCAAGGCTGGGAAACTTAAATAATTACAAAGAAAAACGGTTATTGGTCTAAAAATGGCATCCAACCTGAGCAAAATGAACTGTATAACTTACTGGTGGAAAATGAAGACATCGATAGAGATGAAAGTTGTATAGTTAGGTAAATGGACAGTTAGCGAAATACAAGTGATCTAAATAAGTAGGAGCAATATAGAAAAAGGTATTTACTGCAAAAAGGTCTCTCTCGGTCTCTGGTTACTGAAGACAGTAACTGATCCTCCCTTTAACTTCACCTGATGAAACAAAGAAAGAGAAGCAGAGTTTGAGATGTTTTTACTTTCTTTTTATATTCTTTCTTTATTTTATCATTTACTTTCTTTTTTTGCTTCTTTCTTTTTTCTTTTTCTTCTTTTTTGTTTGACCACTTCTTTCTATATTTATATTCATTTTCATTCTTTTTCCTTCCTTTTTATCTTTTTCTTTTTGTGTTTCTTTCTTTAACTATTACTTTACTGTTTTTTTCTTTCTTTCTATCTTTGAGTCTTTGCTTTTTTGCTTCATTCTTTCTTCATTCATTATTTCATTGCTTCCTTCCTCCCTCTATTTCTCCTTTCTTTCTATATTTGTCTTCTTTTTTCATTATTTTTTCTTTCTTTTTTTCTTTCTTCCGTTGTTATTTTCTTCTCTGTTTGTATATATCGGTACGTTAATATATTTCCCTATTTTGTTCTATCTATGTTTTTTTCTGCCTTTCTATATTTTTCTTTCATTCTTACTTTCTTTGTATCCTTTTTCTTCTTAATATGTTTCTTTTTTTTTATTCCTTCGATACTTTCATTCGCTTTTTCTTTCTATCTTTCTTTCTTCTTTCTTTCTTGCTTTCTTGCTTTCTTTCTTTCTTTCTTTCTTTCTTTCTTTTTTCGACTATTGCAGCTTGATCTTTCGAGATGAGACGTAAACCAAAACGCCTCCGGCCGTTAGCGCCAAAATCAGCAATCTCGCCCGGGAAAGCCTTCAATAGCACTGATCACCTTCTAATAAGACTTGTAAACCGACTAATTGTTTCGTTTCTATCACTTTCGCTCGTCTCGTCGCCGTAAGATGAATAAGCGGGGTCAAAATTTCCGGCTAAATTATGTCTAGACCAGCACGTTATCAATAACCGCTGAAGAATCCAGCCTTAAACCAACGTTACATTAACCCTCACGCAACTCCGGCTCGACCACAACATACCCCATACTCGCTCAGCAAAACCCAAATACCGAATGACCAGACCTCCATTACGTCTCATTTTGTTTCAGCTCATTACTAACGGCTTCTTTTTGCATTAATTCGCCAGGAACGTGTCTGATCTTTCTCTCTATTTATCTCTTCCCTTTCTTGTTTTCTCTATATATACTTCTCTCGATCGTTTTCTCTCTCTCTCTCTTTCTTTCAACTCCTTCGTTTTCAACGTTCATTCTTTCATTCTCATTCACACTTACTCTTTAGCAATTTATCGTTCTCTCTCTTTTCCCCATTCTGAGATCGACAGAAAAATGTATTCTTCCTTCTCTTTTCTGTCTCTCATTTAGCACTCTTTTGTTTACTTATGCTTTTGCTATCATCTTTTATTTGAATTCCTCTTTCGTTAGAGTTTTCACATGATTTCACTCACACTCTCTTATTTCTGTGTTTCTTCATTCCGTTTTGTCCCTTTTCGTTCTATTTTCTTTTCCTTTTTCACCTTCCTTGCTTTCTTCTATCGAATCTGTCCTTATATCAACAGACCTCGCTGTAATCTTTTTCAGTTCCTCCATATAATTTGCTTTTCTCTCATCTTATTCTCCTTTTTCTCTTGTCCGTTTATTTCCCGTTTATTTGCAATCTTTTTCTCTCTCTCTCTCTCTCTCTATATATATATATATATATATATATATATATATATATATATATATATATGTAGAAGAGAGAGTGAGAGAAAGAGAGATATGTTTGTCTCTCTTTATCTCTATGTTATTGTCTCTCTTCTCTCTTTGTTTATCCTACCTAGTATATTTAAATAGGTATGAACAGACAAAAGCAAAACACACAGACAGGTGGGTGGTGAGAAAGATAAGAAAAAGATATAGATATAAAATATAAATTTCATGTTATTCCTTGTTAGAATAGAGTGTATATATATATATATATATATATATATATATATATATGTATATATATATATGTGTATATGTGTGCGCGCGCACGCGCGTGTGTGTACATGTGTGTATTTGTATGAGAAATATGTATCATCTATATATCTATTTATCTGCCTGTCTGTGCGCGTCACACCCCAGATTTATTTCCACACACACACACACACACACATACACCCACAACCACACACACTATATATATATATATATATATATATATATATATATATATATATATATATATATATATATATATGTATGTATATACTCTGATCTGACGAGGAATAGCATCTGTACAACTACGAAACATTCAAGTAAACATGAGTTAAGTGAAAAAAAATATTATTAATATATATATATATATATATATATATGTGTGTGTGTGTGTGTGTGTGTGTGTATGATTGTGTGTGTGTCTGTGTTTGCATGTTATTAGGATGTATAATATTATCTGAAAAAAAAGATAATAGGACAAAAATGAAAGCTTTCTTTAAGTTCCATTTTTGCCAATGGGTTTTGGATTTCCATTCTTAAGTTTGGAAAGAAAATCAAAACTGTGTGCAAGAAAAATAGCTCATGAGATCCAATGACCAGACACAGGAAATTATCGATTTTGTTTTTTTTGTTACTAAATGTTAACCCCGGATTGTGAAACCGCTAAGCCTAACACACGTCGGTGAAAACGTCATTCCTATATATATCATTATATATATATATATATATATATATATATATATATATATATATATATATATATATATATATATATATATATATTGATTATGATATTGCTTAAATTTTGTTATATTCTAACACTTCACATGATTAAATATTGATGGATCCTCTGCAAAAAAAAAAAACTTAATGATTCTCTTTTTTCTATCTTCTCTTCCTCCCGATGAATGGGCACCATAGACATGCTAGTATACCTAATATATATATATATATATATATATATATATATATATATATATATAAGTATATATATATATATATATATATATATATATATATATATATATATATAAATTTCAGAGGATAGATTCGAGGCAGAACTCAATATGCAGGACAGAGTTAGAATATAATATAAAAGGCCCAACCACCAATATTCCATGGTTATAATTTATTACATTCGATTCGTAATCACGATCCAATTCATCAGATCTAGATATTAAAAAAGAAATCCGAAAATATATTCTTTGTAGATCTGATGAATTGGATCGTGATTACGATTACAATGTAATAAATTATAACCATGGAATAATAGTGTTTGAGCTATATATATATATATATATATATATATATATATATATATATATATATATATATATAGAGAGAGAGAGAGAGGGAGACGTTATTTCTCTTTTATTTTCTTTTGGTTCAGTATATTCGAGGCTGTGTGAAAACATTCGCAACTCGAACCAAAAGCCACCATTTTAGAACCGTGAAAACTTGTTCCAATTATATGGCCTATCTGGTTTATATGGGTATTCCTGGTTTTCCAAGCCATTACAATACTTGTGTTTTTGTTTCATATTTTGTCTTCATCCACTTCCAATAAACCTGCAGTTGCTAATATATAGAGACTACAAAAAAAGGAGTAATAAATGATTTGATAGTCGCTGAAGGTGTGAAATTGGCAGCAACCATGCAGTTTTGCTTTGTATTTCTACACTGTCATACATAATTTTTAATCTATCTACATCAGACATTAAGAATGTGGTATTAGTGAATAATAAACAGTTGATTATATCTCTATATTAGTTCAGTTATGACAAAATGAATATAGGAAATAAAAAGAATGACATACAATGACCAAACCTCGAATCATGTTCTTAAATAACCTCGTCAGATCGACACTTCCATGCAGATGCCATGCTTGGCACCGAACCTCTTTAGAAATATCGCAAATGTCAGCTGTAAACAACCGATTTCTAAGATTAATAGTTAAAAATTGATTTAGGCGATTGAATCCTATGGGTCTTTAGGAAGATCACCCTTCTTAAAATCCTGGGGACTGACGCTAAAAAAATCCAAAGTACTGTACCAGATCAGATCAAAGAAATCACCCCATTTGAGGAGTTTTAACAACAGCAACTGTAACACCAAAAGAAAATAATAGCATAAGCAACATTTTGCCGTTCGACACAACCTCAAACAAACGGTTAAGAAGGACCCCCTACCCCATCAGTACTGGAAAAGCAATAACAGTTACTGAACTTGAGAAAGTTGAACTCCTGAAAACAATGTTTTAAGAGAAAGGTTTTAGAAAATTTAATCGACAATAGTACTAGCAGCCCGGTCACTGAATGCCAAATTATTCCTTATAAGGTAAAAGCTAACATTAACATTACTATTACCATATGCTGAGTGTTGTAACGAATTTTTTTGTTGTTCTATTTATTTACTATAAGTATTCCAGTTTTCTTTGATTATCAGTATAAATCACCAGTATAAATTTGAGACGCTAAGTAATTCGTATTATTTTAGAAAAATGATATAACTAAAATTTTCATAGAGTAGAATCGCTCATATCAGGAATCCTTTATAACCGGAGTGGCTCATATCCGGAATCCCTCATATCCGGAAATGATTTTGATGTGTATGTTAAAACTATTTGTGTGATATCTAACTGATTTGAAATTTCTGTTTTTCAGGAAATTTATTTTGGATTATTGCTTATGCTTATTTCACCCTAATAGCTGGTTTGTATTTGTGCAAAAGATGATGGGAACAAGAGGAAAAAGAATAACTTTGGAGTTATCGCAAAAAAAGTGGAAGCTTTAAGCAGAATAGACGCTGGTGAAAGTTTATTAAAACTAATGGCTGAGTTCAGCATAGGATAGTCAAAATTATATGTTATAACATATTCTAAAGAAACAATTCTCTAGCGTTTACACTGTCACAATGAAAAAGGAAGTGAAAATAAAAACATGATTGTAATGAAATCTGGACTGAAATTGTAAATCTATTGAAAAGAATGTCAGTTTCAGATATGACGCACATAGTGTTAAAAATTGTCTTTGGTTCAAAAAACTTCAAGAACAAAAGCAAAACGAAATGCGGAAAAAGTTGAGAATGACATCAAAAGAGAAAGAATCATCATGCAACAGCGATTAAGAAATCCTCGTTACATTATTTGTTTTACATACGTGGAGTACTTAATTTAATGAATGTTCATTAACATTACATGATTGATTTTTTTCTTTAAAATCAATTCCGTTATATTTCACTCAACATTAGCTTATTTTGATTACTATAAATCACTGAAAACAAATGTTAAAACTGATTTCCGTTCTTTTATTTTAAACTAAATATAACCCCTCATATCCGGACTTTGTAACCAATTCCTAATATCCGGAAGGCCTTCTTAGTCCGGTTGTCAGGGATTCTACTGTATTTATAAAATGTATATATTGACAAAACTACAAAACTAATTTTAATACAGTACCATGAATCAAAGAAGTACCCAAATTCAGAGCCTTGATTCTGAACCCTTACACATGCAAAACTGACTCGTAGTATTAAATAACTCGAACATGGTTAGCTACCAATAAAAAAACAACTGATTAAACCAATACAATTCTCTTAACCATTTCTCCCTCTCACTCATCTCATCTTTCTCGCTAACCTTTGCTCGACAAAAGGCGTTATTTATCGATATTTAATATATTTATAATACAATGCCACCTTAGGCTCCAACATACAATGTTCCTCTGACCCCAAACTTGCTAAACGCCACCCTGCAGGAGTCGCTCTAATCTTGCATGCCTTAATTTCGTCTCCTTACTTTCGAAGTTACTTTGGAAATTCTTTACTTTCCATCCACCTTATCTGCAATACCCTATGTCTTTATTCCATCATTTTTCTCTCTCTCTCTCCCTCTTTCTCTCCCCCTCTCTCTCTCACTCTCTCTTCTTTTTTTTTCCTTCCTCCAAGACTCAGCCTATATTCTTACTTCCGTCTTCCACACACTTTCTCGCTCCCTCACACTCATTCTTCCTTCAACTTCATTCGCCTCCCACCTCCTCGCCCTGTCGGTGTCCTTTTCTTCTACCTTTAATAAACGTCTTCATTTTTCATCTCATTTATTCTCCAATCTCGATGCTCTATTTTTAAATCTTGGCTTGTCCATCTTCCTACGCTATTAAATGAATAGAGCGATCAACGTGTCCTTTTCTTATTACAGTATTTTATTTGATGGGGGGCAAGGATCGTGGCAGATTTAGTAAAGACTTCTTTGTCATAATTGGACGTTACGATTTCGTATAGAGAAACGGATATGTCATTTCTTTCGCTATTCTTTTCTTTTTTCTTTCTTTTTCTTTTTAAATGTAACCAGATTTAACTGTGGTCGTAAAATCCGGGACAATCAATATAATTTATTATCTTCATGCTTATTTTTATAGTTAGCTCTTTTTAAAATCATCGGAGTGTTTATCTTTGAATTAACGTCAGTTGTGTCTGTTAGTGCATTTTATTCACTATCAACTACGGTAGACAAAGACCGATACATCCAGAGGTCGATGTCCAAACGAAACAGAAAATATATAGGAAATTAAACTAGTATCTTAGTATTAAATTTGGCCTTGTGCTACATCCTACCACGTTAGGAGGCAGGTAAATATAGTAATATGCTGTCTAAATAGTTCATCACTAGCAGTAGTTTACTTAAGCTGGCGAGTATTTTATTTTTTTTTCCTTTATTTCTGGCTAAACAACATTTTGAAAAGATAAATATAATTTGCGACATTATTTTATCTGAAATATTTATATAATTATTAATTACAAATAATATATATTTAATTTGATCAGTTCAAAACTCAATTAGTCCTTTCATCATTTTAAAGTGATGGTTTACACTTGGGAGGTAACGCAAGCATTTTCCTCAAGACTCCATTATTTTCATCTGCATTCTATCTCTTTTCAGATACTTCGTTTGGATAATTATTTTTTCCCACAATTTCCTGTTCAACTAGATTTTCATTTAAGGTCTTTCAATTATCGTTAATAATATTTCCTTCCTGTTTTATAGTTTCTTCATTTCCCAAATGATGCCCAGATTTTTATCCACCTTATATTTTTTTCATTTTCCATTTTTCTTAAATCGAAAATCTGAAACGTATTTCTATCTGTTTATAAACAGATGCGATCTTTTAATTACTTCCTGAATTGGACAATACATTTGAATCTCAATGTTCGGAAGGATTTAGTCTTTTGCTTTATCTAAAATAAGTTTTGGGTTTGCATATAACTTTGGTTTTTATAATTGATTCCATAGTCGTTTGCATAGATTTCAACAGATTACACTTCCCAACCTGACATGCTTATTTTTTTTATTCTAAGACGTCTTTTTACATTTGTTTATTATATGTTTGAATATATATTTGTTATATAATCGTCTAGTAGACTATTATTTTTTAGACAATTGTATTCTCTGACTTCCTCATTTTGACATCTGAAGTCAGATACAGGAAAACAGTGAAAGTCATTTTTGATTAGTTAATACGAGAGTGGCAATGTTAGTGAGATAGAAAGAGAATCAGAGAGTTAAGTTTTTACATGTCATACACAGTAGACATGGTTATTTCGTGTCTCGGGGAAGTGTACACATCGGCCTGTTTCCTAAAATAGATAAGATTAAATTACCTTTTGTTGGAGCTCTCTTTCATTTCCGTACTCCAAAAACATTTCGACACCCGGCCGGGACAAAACGAGCAAGATAGGGTATTATGGGGATCGATGCTGTCAACCAACACCTACTTCCAACAAGAAAGAGTATACAACATCTTCTCTTGGTCCGAATTTTCTACATTTAATATTCTCGTGTTTCATAATTATTATATTCTTTATATGAGAGAGGCGGAGGTTTTCTTGAGGCATCCAGGAATAGATTTTAAAAAAATACTTTTGATATTTTAGGTCGTGAAGGTTTCACTACCCCATCGTAAAATTTGTTTTCTGGCTTTTTTTTTTTTTTAATAGCGACGAGATTACTCTTTTAGTTGTTTTACGCTCATCCATTTCTACAGGGCTTTATTTCTTATTCCATCTGTCATATACCGGATGAAGAATTTTAATTCCCTGGGAAGTTTGTTTTGTTTTTGTTTTTTTTGTTTTTTTTTGTTTTGTTTTTTTTTGTTTTTTTTGACAGAGCATAAAAAAGGCGACATCAAAATCCAAAAAACCTATTGGACTAACGAAAGAAGCATTCCAAAAGCTGAAAAATGTAAGGAGAAACAGTGAGGGATTGCCATATTATGTCCATTCTTTTATATCGCAATGCTGGACAGTTTCTCCATGGATGAAGAGAAAACTGGTCGCGGCAGATATGTGGATGTGAAAATTCCATGGACGAAGCCAGAAAAAAAACAAGGCAGTTTTAAAATAAATGGAAAGAGAAATTACAATTATACACGGAACCAGGAACAGACAGCTGATATTACTTAGACACGAAATGGGGAAGGAGGGTTTAGAAAACTTAAACTTTGTGGCACATATTCAGAGCAGAAGAGATAGGAGCAGACAACGAGTCACCTATTTGACGAGGTTGTGTGTATGGGTGACGCACAGTGATGGGAGAAAAAATGCCTAAGGGCCACAACGGATAGGAAGTTGTGGATTGCCTGTAGCATGAAGAGATGTAAGACATAGAAGAAAAAGAAGAAGAAATGTAATCGACATCCATTCCATCGTGAGCGAGTATTTTTCCACTTTTTCTGTGATGATCAATTTTTTAAATTTTTGTTTTTAAAATTTTCTTTTCATCTTTCAATCCTTTCCCCCATTTTGGCCACCATGCTTCTACTATCTTTCTACGACTTGGTCCCGAGATGCTTTGCTTCGAGCGCCATGTTGTTCTGCTTTTGCTACAGTCTCTTCAGTTATTTACAAAAGAAATCCGTTGTTAAGTAATATCTTCCTATATTGTGTCTAGTATTGGCATCTTTATTTATAACTCTTTAG